TTATAGCGACTTTTTTCCCATTGCTGGAGCTGGGGTGGACACGGTTTCGGCATGTCGCAACCGGCCCATGGGCCGGCAGTTTGACACCCCTGGTTTATAGGATACCATAATGCCAAGAAATTGTAACTACAAATATACTACAAATGTGAATTTATTTCCAGGTGGTTAAATGCCTATGGAATGTATGCCTTAGCAGACACATAAATTCAAGGCTGTGTAATGGGTGCTTCCTTATCTGTCTCCCTCCTTCCACAGTACAGGATGAGTTTATTAAAATAACAATTAAAATGTTGACACCTCTAATATATCAAAGCTACTAAATTCCATTTCAAATAATGTGTCAGTAATGCCTTCACACCATGAAGAATAACTATGTCTCCCTTTGTGGATATCTTGTTTCCTTATCAGCTGCAAAGCAACACTCTCTTGGGATGTCTCCTTTTAATGTATGCATAAGCATGGTCAAATTGTCTTTGATCATTTTTATATAAGATCTATGTAACTTTCTGGTTCTTATTCTTGATCCATTTAGATGCAAGACCTTACTCACTTCACACCTCCTAGCTTTGAAAATAAAATTGTTTGAATCCTCTTTAGGATTTTATAGCATTTTAGGGATAAATACTTGCATAGAGTATTTTAAAATGTGTTTTGTTTGTGAAATATTCAAACAATGCATTGTGTTGATTGTCTTATTTTAGACATGGATACTTAATCTGGATAATTGTTTAAGAGTATTATGATTTGGTTTCATAATACTCTTGAAAAAGCAATTGTCTTAAATGCATTTTGTTTCTTCATAATATTTTCTACTGCCACTTGAGATATTCCTGTGTGTGTGTGTGTGTGTGTGTGTGTGTGAGAGAGAGAGAGAGAGAGAGAGAGAGAGAGAGAGAGAGAGAGAGAGAGAGAGAGAGAGGCCAGAGAGGAAAGCATATGATAAGTTGAGGTGAAATGATCAAACATGAACAATTCTGCTAACAGTGTTGAAAGCAAAAAAAAATTAATTTACCCGTGTCTTTTTCTACTTCGGTGTGAACATGATAATAATTCTCCATTTACGACACGCAACCACTATCTTACGTACATCTTTTGTTTTCTTTCCTTTAGTAAGTGAAAACCTCTAGTTAAATCCTATTGTTTTAAAGATTCCTTTAACATTCTTTGTGAGGGTTTCTCATGCAAATTTTGTTAAGAATTCTGCAAGAAGAAATAATGACATTCTCAATTCAGATGCAAACTCCTTAGCACTGAGAATGGGATACTAAATGATGTTAGGAGCATGCTAGAACACAGGTAAATAGGTGGATGTGATGGTATCAGAAGCCTGCATCACTAAAAAAGTTTTATCTTCTATATTCTCTTCTTTTAGTGCAAGGCAACATAGGATGTAAGATTGTGCCAACACACGTCAGTTTAAAGCAATACAGAAAGTAGTTCCTCTCTTCCCCCAAGATATAGTAAATACTCATGATTTTCCAAGGAATTGTGACATGTATAACAGCTTGTTTTGTTAATTACCTTAGTAAGCATTAAAAGAATCAAGCAGGAGGTGGAAATCAACTACAGAATATGCATAATAATAGAAAAGTTACAAAGAGGGAGAGTGAAAAAAAACATGTCTAGCCTCTGGAACATTTTTTCTGGAAAATCAAGTGCTACCAGAAGATAACATTTTGCACCTATACTTGTTATAGATCATTGATATTGATGTTATCCATTCAGTTGTGACTGGTTCCATGGGCCAGGTCTCTTCACATCTTCCAATCTTGTGCAACTTCTTCGAGTTGTTTTATGTTCTGGTTATGACGTCAGCTTTGATGGTATCCAGCCACCATCTTCTTTGGCAGCCTCATGGCTAACTCTTCCAAACATAATGCTTTCTCCAGTGAATTCGCCACATGACATCACCAAAATATTACTGAACTTTTATTACTTTCTAGGTTTCTGAAGACTGTGAGTTCTGTATTAAGAATGCAAAAATTATGTTGTCTTACTAATATCTGAGGACAAAATCACAAAAAATCCTTTTATACCATAATAGAAGTTGATATCAATCTATTCCCCCCCTAATATCAAGAAACTCAGTATAAAACATCATAAAGCTTTTGACAAAAATTGATTGATTTATGAACAACTGAAAACTAGAGGAATCCCCAAAATTCCATTGTCTTCTGAGAGCTGTATTCCAGTTTCATTGTTCATTCTTCATTGCCTGTATCAACTTCCAGCTTGCCAAACAGAAACGGGAGGGCGGAGGTTGGTAAATTCCTAGGAGGGGGGGGGAGGCTAAGGAATGCATGAGAGCCTTCTGCTGCCGAGAGGAGATACTCACCAAGGCCAAGTTCTCAGAGCTACCAGCGCAGAATGTTTTCCCACAACAAAAATATTGAATGTAATTGGTGGACAATGAACTGTGGGCGGCCCAAGCGTGAAAAGGGGGCTTTACCTATGTGAGTTTTTGCGGGAAAACCTCAGAACTGACTTTGTTTCTGCTGCGCCTAAATGTATCTTTCAATAGAGTTTTACTCTTAGTAGTTCCTAGTTTCTTTTTTTGGATGTGCCAAATGGGACGATTGACAGTTATCTTGTCATGGTTGCTGTAAGCCTGTCTTTTTGCAAATTGTTACTCTGAAAATTAAGGTTTTACCAATTTGCATATTTACCTATTAAGAAAGAGAGTATGATTCAAATGTAGACTTCATATATGTAGTTTCTTTATTAATCTTTGAAACCCATCAATGTATTAAAATTGATATATGTTTGTCCTTTCAGAACAGGTTTGACCTTTTACAGAAATGTTGTGAACTGCATGCAACTGAGTGGCATCAACTTTGTCCTGCTTTCATTTTTCTAAATGTGACAACTTCTCAAAATAAGATGAAACTAACTACAGTTAGACTCATTATTGATTTCTACAGGTTTTTGACACACTCCATTTGCAAGTCCCTTCCATCTATCACACATGAATTAGACATCATCAATAATGTACCAGTAAATAAATAATACTTATGTACTTCAGTCATGACAACAAATTATATTGTGTCAAGAGGTCAGTGGCCTATGATGTAGTTCTCAGAAAAAAAAATACAGTTACATAAATATGAAGCAAATTTTTGCCATGGACTTTCAGTTGCTCCTTAAACCTGATACTAATCAACATTCATTATTTCTTATGTAAGTATTTTTAAGGGAAAACAATATTAAGTATTAGGTTAATAAGTATATTAAACATTTTAAAAACTGTTAAAGAGCACTGTAATTTCTTTCAAGAGTCTTCAGACTGATTCAATGAAGTCTACTTACTTGGTGACAATAATACAACAACGAAAGATGCTCATGTGCTTCACAAATTCATTGTTATTGATTTAATCAGCTTATTAGCCACTTCAAACGCCAAAGCAACCTTTGTGTACAAGTTTAGGCTGCATCATTATATAATCTATTCCTCAGAGCTTAGCAATGCTTGGGTTGCTTTAAATAAAATGCTATGTATTCTATTGAAAAAAGATACTAAAATACAAACATTTGATTTAAAAATTCTAGATTTTCTCCTTTTGCTTGCTTAGTCATTCCATTTTTCTTTTTTAAAATACATGATTAATATTTTTTAAAAAAATCTGGATTTATTTTGTGTGTGTGTGTGGACTATAGACCAAGAATGAGGGTTTTTTTCCCTTGACTTCTTGCAGGGAAGATCTTATTCTTTAAAAAATACCAACTCTTACTGAAGAACATCTATGACACTGACTTATCAATGTGCTTATTTCTATGAGGAATTCTTGTAAAGAATCTTATTTTCAGTTCCGCTGAGTTTTCATAAACTTCCTTCTCTCTTTTTCACCTTCTTATTATTACAGGCAGGTTTGACTGGCCTACACTCTTAGCCCCATGTTTGGCTGAAAGGTGGCTATAATATCCTCCCCAAATCAATAGCCCCCTTAGCTTTCTGGCTGGTTGGTATTTTAAAGCCATGTACCCATCACAGACAGTTGCAGGGACTTTAGCATCTCAGGGCCTTTCAGTCTTGGGCTGGGAGGGGGAAGGTTACCAGCTTTGTCTTGGTTTTCCTTCTGCAGTCTTCTTCTTGTAAGTCTTTTTAACAACATATCTATGTATAAGAATAGAGTACTTATGATTCAGGTGATTCACTGATGCTTCACCAATTTTCTTCTTATTCTCGTAGCTTTTTACTCGGCTTTAATGTAAGAAAGAAGATGTTTGAAGTGATGAAACAGAGCATGGCAATGATATGTTTTGAAAATGTTTATGTTCACCAATATATGGAAAATAAAAAGACACATTTTAGTCAAATATTTAGATGTTGTCTAGAAAGATGAAGCTGCATAGTCTGGACCCGTCCTCACCCCCTCAGCGTATTTTCTGTACTAAGTGTGTTTTCAGCATATTCATTTTTCCCCCATGTCCGTGTAGCATTTCATGAAACCATGTAGCATCTTCTGATAAGGAGTCAGGTTTTCTCTTTTTTATTTTGGTGGATATAATTCATTATTTATAAATCTTGTGTATGTCCTCTGTTGAATACTGATTTTACAAAATCTGATGACAACAGATAAAGCTTTCTTCCTCATTTGCATTCTACCTGAAGTATATCTAGAGGTACATTAAATATTATATCCACTGAACATTAATTTTAAAAGTATCTATCATCATTTGTATAATTAAATAATATTATCAGAATCTCACTTCTCATACAACTGCTTCCTCATTGTTGTTCTAGCTTTCAGTCACAAAAACATTATTAGGTAGAAAGATAATGTTTTTGTTTCTTTCTCTTCAGACATTGTTAGTGCTAAGGTCTCTTACGCATAACTGCCAATATGGAGGAACTTGGGAAGAACTGCCCTGGGGGGAAGCGGAAGTGCCCCATCAGATATAAAATAACATGCAGAGCAGTTTGAATCTCAAGCATAACAGGAATACACTAAGAAAATAAATGGCATAAAATATGTCTACAAATAATTTTTGTAAAGCAATAGCAAATTTCCATAGACTTTAATGAATTGTGAAGGAGATTCAATCTTAATAGTTTGGTATAGTCTTTATAATACCTTTAATATGACATAAATCTGTTGGCTGATTCCAGAAATATACTTCCTCTCATACTTCCCTTCACCCCATCCTCACTCTACGCAATATTTATATACTCATTCAATTGTGTCATGAATTTTTTTTACAATGGAACGCACAATGAAAGTATGTTTGTTATTTAATTCACTCAAGCCACAGGACTGCCCATTAGCCTCTCTTGTCGAAGAGACATCAGCCTTTGGAACCATCTTTCTTCTGCTTCTGCCTTGTCAATAAATAACTATAAGAAAAAGAAGAAAAAAAATAAATATACAGCATCGTTAAATAGATAATAAAGTCCTTAAGATTTGTGAATATCTGACATCCTCTATTACATTCATCTCTAGAATGCATTACTAGCAAGGAATGTATGATGCATTGCAGTGCAATAACAAAGTGATTTCAATTTCTATTAATTTCTGGCGTTTTCTGAACCAGACTTTAAGTCAAGGACCTATTTTTAATGCCAGAAATCAATACTAAAATATACAGTGCATTCAGAAAGTATTCAGACCATCTTCACTTTTGTTAATTTTTCTTTTTAATAAATTTACAGACATTTCTAAAATTCTGTTTTCACTTTGTCGTTATGGATACTGAGCGTAAATTAATTAAAAAAATGAATTTCAACAACTGTAGAATCAGGCTGAAGCAAAACAAAATTGACAAAAATGAAGGGGGTCTGAATACTTTCTGAATGCCCTGTATATTCATAGAATGCCATTGAGCTGCACTAAATAATCAAATTCTTTGCCCAGTGAAAGAAATTTGGGATTTCACATTTCTGTTTTCCAATTATTATCCATACTATATATATCTAAAACACAACAACAACAATAATAATAATAATAATAATGGGATCTTGGAGGTCATCTAGTCCAACCCTGGCTGAGGAATTCTGGGAGTTGAAGTCTACAAGTTATAAAAGGGCCAAGTTTGAAGACTCCTGACTTAGCAGTTGGACTTCATAGTATTGCTCATGCTACAAATTTAGTCAGGATTTTATAGAAGTTCTTGAGTATTTTTTTAAAAAAGAAAACATATACACATATGGATAAACAAATTGTATAACCTTATCTCTTACACTCTTTATAAATTATTTTAATCAAAGACTGCCATAATTAGCAAACTTACATTGGGATGGGCAAGTGAGTTTTCATCCTGGTATTTGATAGCAGTAGGAATAATTCCAGGCTTTACTTCTTTTTCAGTAATAGCAACACCAGTGTTTGTAACTTCTGTAATTCCAGGTTCATTTTTGATATCAGCAGATTCTGTGACCTAAATGTATTCATAAAACAATCTTTATAGACAAACTAATTCTTCTATGAATCGTTTGAGAATACTTCTGCCTTGTAGCAGACCTGCTGAACTTTCAAAAAATTAACCTGCTGAATCATCAGTTGCCATTCCCCTTTTGTGGCTTTGATCTTCTTGTCCCTCAGGAAGGCCTTATATTGTTTTTTTATATAATTGATTAATAGTTGAAGGTGTTCAGTGGATGTGAAGGGGTTCTGGCTACGATAACTGTCATTCCGTTGATCACCACCATTGAAATAAAACTAAATAAATATATAGGAGTACCTCATGCATGTTTATATGTACTAGAATTTACCCAAACAATTCAATAAAGGATGTGAGAAAGCAAGGAATTGCAAGGTGTCTGAAAAAACTGCACCAAATAATGTGTGAAGAAAAGAGCAGGAATTTCTTTTTCCTTTTAACTTGGTTAATAAGAAATTCTACTCTCGAGATAACTCTGAACTGGGGACAAATTCTGGGATATAGCACAGCTTGAAAAGGAAAATCTTCTGCACACAAAAGTAACCTTGTGTTTGTCTGAATATATAAAGTACATTTCTCACATTTAAATACAGTGTCATGGTAATTAGTGAAATCTGTACTCAACTTAAAATGGCCAGGGATTAGGATTACTACTAGTAATATTGGTATAAACAGTCAATGTCAATGACAGTTGCATTAATATATCGATTCCACCACAGTATTCACAAGGATCCTATGCAAAGAAAAAAAATATTGAAAAGTTACCTTTTTGACTTCTTTGCTCGATCTGAATGTCTGTGGAATAAAAGAGTCACTTTCAATTGCTTCAATTTCTTTGACTCGTTTTACTTGCTCAACAAGACTGGTTTGATCTGTGGAAAAAGGTACAATGTCAATATTGTTCACCATCCCTTTAAATATTGTATAGTGTAATATATTCCTAACGTTTTTCTTCTGCTAAGAAAACAGAAAAGTAGAACATAAGCAATGGTGCTACCAATGAGATTCTATTTGTAAGTGACAAAGAAAACAACCATTTACATAAAACACGAATAGGGTGGTCTGCTGACCCCACCAGTTAAATTTCATTATAGTTGTAATGCCATCTCCCCCGAACAAACAGTAAATAATTTGCAAGAGGAATGCATCTTCCAAGCCAAAGTAGGGAATATGCTGTTACGTTTTGTATTCATATTAATACTGTATTCATGTATATTATTTTAATATTCCTATGCAACTTTTAAAATGAGTTCCCCCAATATTTTTGCAATTGGGAAACATCTGAAGAATTCCAGAGTTAGAATACATGAGATACATATGTTCAGTACAGATAGAAATGAAATAAGGGCAGATAAAATATACTAAGAGCAACAAAAAGATGCATTAGAACATATTCATAGAATCAAAGTGTTGAAAGTGACAATTTAGGCCAGCAAATCCAATTCTATACTAAATACTATAGGAATTCCATTTACAGCATGTAGTCTGATAAACATGAAAAACCCAAAGAGAACTTATCTTATGAGAGAAAGCTCCTTCAGATGACAGGGAAACCCAAGGGTGTGAGATACTTGGTGAGTTAGGAAAGGTCAATGCATAGCCTAAAGCTATGATTCATCATCTAGACATCTCTTAAGCACTTTTCTTAAAAAGTATCAGAACACCAAATACTCCTTAATATGTTCGGTTGATATGGGGCTAAGCAACTCAATTCTTCTAGAGTATTTCATTATTGATTCATATAAACAATGTATGCTAATTTGTTGATAAGTAGATTGAATTTTTCAGAATATTTAAAGCTGCACTTTGTTAACTGAAATAATGGAAGAAATATTAACAAATCCCTTCCCATGCTGTCATATTCTACAGCTGAAATATATTTGGCACTACAGTGATTAAATGATGCGAGCCACAAAAGAAGTGGCTTAGTGTCACTAACTATTTGTTAAGGTATACCCATTGAATAATGTCTTTACTGAAACGATGGAAAAGAGTCCTCATTAGGTTGGACAAACTGTAACAGAAAGCCTTAGATAATGAAAATCCATCTTCTTCAGTGTTCAATATTTCCATCAGTGCCGTTTAGATAATATGCTGGCCTTTCTTTTTAAGTATGTTTGCATATCACAGTTATACTAAAATAAAGCATACATATGCAAATACTCTTTCTCAAGTATATTCATGCATGTTGATTTTCTGATACCCATGAACCTATCACAATTGGTGTAGGAAGAAATGATACAGTCCATATGCACTCTGTCAAATATTATCAACATTTTACAATATAAATACAATATAGGAATCCATAAATAGATAAAGGCATGACTCAGATATTTGAAGTACTCTAATGCAAGTGACAATCATAATCTGGGGACATGTTCCTCAAGGGAAATAGAATAACAGAATGTTTTCCTGAATTACTTCAACAATATTAACTGCATAAAAACAGACTGGAAGGAAGTTGCATCCATTAGTCTACAATATTGTTGACAAACACATTATTGGTAGATAAAATGACTTCCATATAGTGTTTGTCAGATGTCAGTAGAAAGCATATATATTTCATACTAAAATAAAAAATAATGGAGTCAGAAAGCTAAGAGGATACAGAAAAAAAAAAATCAATACTAACTCATTGGACAGCAAGTCCTTTCACTCTAGGCAGACTTTAAATATAGAACTATTTATATTGGTGACTGATGTGTTGATGCCATTTTTTCATACATAAATCATTTATTCTAGAAGAATTACAGTTCTTGCTTCTAAATAGGATAAAATAGGAAAATATGAGTGTACAAAAAAAGATCAACATAATTTTCTGAGGACTTTGGTAATGCCTGGATCTGAGTCTTTAATTTCAATCACTCTGTTCAATTCGCGTGGCTTATATCTGTAGGTCATCACTACTGTACTGTAGATGAAAGCTCTTGAAAGCAGCAGATGGCACTATATAACCAGTCAAATGAAAAGATGCATCCTACAGGATTAAGGGCTCTTGTTTTTAGATAAAAATGCACCTTACTTGCCTTCATGTGATTTGTTTTCATAAACCTAAAAGTCATAACAATGTTTAATGGGCATGGTTTTCAGCTGTTTAATGGCTACTTGGCAGGAATTAGTAATTACATTAATTTCAAACTGTCAGGGAAGTTGAAAAATAATAAAAATATAAGAAGTATAAGGATATGTTTTAAAAAACCAGATATTCTATATGTAATGCAGAACTAAGAAATGTGCATTTTATGAAACACTCTTATTTAGCTGATATTACACAAAATTCTATACCAGAACATGCTGTTACCATGGGTTTATTAATGAAATGGCATTAATAGTTAATGCCTTAAGGATTACAACAAGCGTAACATATAAAGATATGCATATGATCCTGATGATACAGCTGAAGCACATAAAGAAAAAGAACTGATATATATAACAGAAGTGATTTACTGTATGATTTAGACCTTATTCTATTATATTGATTAAGAAAATCTGCAGTTTAGGCTGAATGGGAACTGGATCTATAATATACAAGCAGTTACTATATACTGAAAGGGAAATAATTTTTGACATAAGGCAGGCTCAAATAAATTTGTTAGCACTCTTTTATACTGAAGCCTTTCAGATATAAAGAATACATAGTTCCATTATATTGTTTTTGCAATCATAGCATTTGAAGTATTAGTTACATGTATTACACATTTTCTTTCAATTTTAAGTACCAATAAAGGAGAACATTTATAGCTCAGGGTTGAAATGACAGGTCCTTGCTCTCTAAACGTGGTTGTTTTCTTGTAAACATTTCATTACCCAAACTAGGTAGCACTGATGATGTTACCTAGTTTGGGTAATGAAACATCTGCAAGAAAACAGCCAAGCTCAGAGAGCACCAAGGACCCCTCAATTTTAAGTACTGCATTCTCTCAGGACTCACTCTTCTGCATTTCTCTTGAAAATAAAGGAGTCACTGCATTTGTTAACTTTATTCAAACTACAAGCTTATTCAAGGTCACAAAATGATGTAGAAGAAAACCGGGGAATGTGGTACGAGCATGAAAAAGCTACTTGGAGCATTTGGCCAAAGATAAAATTTACAGACTTTGGAGTAAACATGAGAAAGATAAATCACTTTCTTGATCTCCTATTGCCTTTCGGGAAACACCTATAGAGCAAACCAAAACTAGGACATTCGAAGTGGTTGTATAAATCATTTCACTCTCACTGAAAATTGAAAAGGGGGACACATTCTCAACCCAGCACAAACCCACTTCTACACACCCTAACAAACCTAGATTTAGATAAAGAATTGACCCAGTTAGTGCTGACATCAGGATGAGCTTTGACATGGCAACTCTTCCCTTATAGTAGTTTATTTATAGAAGGAGCAGTTGAAGTACAAAGACAGAATGAACTCAGCCAAAGCTTTTTGAACTTCTATTTTATAGAACTCTCACTGGCATATCTTGGATTAAAATTTGATTAAGTCATTGACACACTAATTGCTCTGGAGCATAAATTTCTCCATTTTCTTTTATTGGAAAAATAGTTAACTAATTTATTAATTTATATTTAAATACAGTTTATATAATGTTATGACTTTAGTTATTATTTAGATTTGTTGTACACGTCCCAGAGTGACATGTTTGTGGGATGGGCAGTTGTATAAATAATAAAGATAAATAAATTAGATAAATGTAATGCTTTCATTTATCCATGTTAAATAATAGCATAAAACTTTATAAAGAAGTCCTTCAAAAATCATAATATGGTAGGAATCCATATTATGAATCATAACATCCTTCAAATTGCAGGATATTTGCTGCATTTCTCTCCCTCCCAAAAGCCTAAAGTTTCATAGCACTATGATCAATTTACAACCTCTGCCACTGCTGCTAGGTTTCCATTGTTGAGTTCTCATTGATGCTAATTAAAATTCTACAGAAAGAAAAGCTGCAGATTTCTCAGGAACTTGCCAGTGAATGTTGTCTGCCAGCCATCTCCAAACACCCCATAACCATGTACAACCAGCCTGTCAGGAGAGCTAATGCAGACTTAGTGGGGCACATCACGATTGCCATTGTGGGTTATATCAGATAGACTCAGCTGTATTTTTTTCTCAACACACAAAAGCATGATATGTAATTCAATGCTCAATTTACCCTTGTCTCGCAGGAGATTTCCCCCCCCACTAATTGATAGAAATTAAGCCATTAATCAAGCCACTAGCCATCATTCAAACCAGAGAAGATGAATACAAACTTTCATCATAACCACCTTCCCCATTTTAGTGTTCATTAGCATTAATTTTTAATGTAATTATGCTATTCTTTTACACTGAGCTCATAAATTACTGCTCTTTTGTTGCTTGCTAGCCTTGTAAAATCCAAGGTAATGCTTTGTGCTCTATTCTTAAAGGCAATTACTAGCTACTTCTATCTTTTATATCTATATAATAAAAACTTTATATAGTAAGTTCAATTAGCATAGATATGCTTATATATAACATATATAGCATGCACATAAACACAGATTCTACCATTGATATACTGGCGGTATTGTGGAAGGGGGTGTTGAATGATCAGGCACTTTTTGATAAAGTTGTGTAGGTATCCATTTTGTTGGATGATGTTGTAAAGACAGTTTCCTTTTTCCGATGTTCTGGGTTATTGCACTGCATTGGTGCTCATCTGAATAATATTGTTACACAGTTCGCCTTGTGGAGATGGGATTCTTACTTTGGTAAGAAGTTAATTAGTGTGAGTTATTTTTAGCAAGCTATGAAAAGAATAACATTACCATACCTCAAAAAACTCTCAGAAACAAGCAACAGACTGTTACAAATACACAACTCTGCATGTCTGTCCTACATAGTGGCTGTTATGGTCAGTACCCTGCAAATAGATGACCTTTTTTC